TAAACCCTAAACCCTAAACCCCATACGCGTGGAGCTTGAAGGCCGACCTCGCCCTGCAGGAGCTGAAGGTGCCCGGGGCTGCACCGCTCTCGCTGGGGGGCCTAGGCCTGCCGGCGCTTGGGAGGGAGTTTAGGGTTTAGGGTTTGGGGTTTGGGGTTTGGGGTTTGGGGTTTGGGGTTTAGGGTTTGGGGTTTAGGGTTTGGGGTTTGGGGTTTAGGGTTTGGGGTTTAGGGTTTGGGGTTTAGGGTTTGGGGTTTAGGGTTTGGGGTTTAGGGTGTAGGGTTTAGGGTTAGGTACCCCGATACAATTGTTTGGGGAAGTATGTGGGCTCCTTTCGGGGAATAGGGCTTGGAGTGCAGGGCCTTAGGAGTTTAGGGGTTTAGGGTTTAGGGTGTTTAGGGAGTTTAGGGGTTTAGGGTTTCAGGGTTCGGGGATGAGGGGTTCAGGGGTTGAAGGCTTGGGGTCGAGGGTTTAGGGTTTAGGGTTTAGGGTTTAGGGTTGGGGGTTGGGGGTTGGGGGTTGGGGGTTGGGGGTTGGGGGTTGGGGTGGTCGAGCGTCTGCCTGGGTACCTGTTCGGATTCTGCAGATTCCTTGAACGTTTGGTTCGCGGATCAATGATCGACCCTCAAAGCATTGCAAGTTTCCGCAAGCAAGCCAGGGAAGGAACCCCAAATCCCTCAATCCGAACTCCGCACCCCCCCCTTCCCCCCAAAAACCTTCAAACTAGACCCTTAAACCCTTAAACCCTTAAACTCGTAAAACCCTTAGACCCTTAAACCCTTAAACCCTTAAGCCCTTAGACCCTTAGACCCTTAAACCCTTAAACCCTCAAACGGTAAACCCTTAAGCCCTTAGACCCTTAAACCCTTAAACCTTAAACCCTATAAGGCCTAAACCCTATAAACCCCAAACCCCAAACCCCGAACCCCAAACCCCAAACCCCAAACCCCAAACCCCAAACCCCAAACCCCAAACCCCAAACCCCAAACCCCAAACCCCAAACCCTAAACCCTAAACCCCAAACTTTGAAATCCCCGTCGCGTAAGGAAGGCGCGGCTGACGTCGGCGCTGCGCCACGCGAAGCGCAGCGCGGAGTTCTGGGCGCCTCGGCCCTTTGTTTCGAGGGGGGGGGGGGGGTGGTTTAGGGTTTAGGGTTTAGGGTTTAGGGTTGAGGGTTGAGGGTTGAGGGTTTAGGGTTTAGGGGGTGGGAGATGGGAATTTCGTTGTTGAGCTTCGGGTCTACGTGCGCAATGGCATGGGGGTTTGGCATGCAACCCTACAGCACTGAACCCTGAACCCTGAACCCTCTAAACCCTATACCAACGCGGACCCAGAGTGGGCCCTTATTCTACTTTTTGTAGGGTTCAGGGAAACTGGGTCTTGGAGTACTATACTTTAATACTTTTTTTGGTTCTGGTTTCCCATTATAGTTACTTATACCTAAAAAGTATATACTTTTTTCAGGGTCTACTCCAAAGCTAAGGAAAAGCCCCTTTAAACAGAAAAGTGTTCCCTTTTCATTCCAGGTTACTCTTGGGTGTACTAAACGGCGAAGCCCAAACCATGGTGCCGGCTTTTCTGGGCTGGACATGGGCCCCTAATAATTTTTGGGTTCTTGTCTTCGGCAAATCCCCCAAAGTTGTACACCACTTCGACAAGTTCACCAAGGAGCACATAAGGGCACATATACGCTCACCATGAGGAGTATCCGACCTTACTTAGCAAATAGTTGAACCTCAATTTGTTTGTGTTTACGTTTTGCAAGAATAATAGAGATTAACTTTTTTCTCTTGGTTATTGGAGGAGTAAGCTACCTCATGTCACCTGTTGGGGTTTAGGACTTCAGGTGGTTGTCAGATTCATCGTGTAACGCCATGAGGCTCGAATAAACTTTGAGGTTGATTCGCAATGTTCTTGGAACTTACCCCACATGTACCCCATATCGCTCATATAAAACCCACATAACACACATAACCCACAGATCATCTGTAGGGCGTCCAGATCCACCCCCAGGAACACTGAAACCCTAACCCCTAAACCCTAAACCCTCAACCCTAAAACCTAAACTTCGCCCGTCCGCTTTCGCCACTGGAGGCCGCAGATGTCGCGCTTTGTAATCGGTACTCACTGCTTACGATGCAAGCGTCTAAACCCTGAACCCTGAACCCTAAACCCTAAACCCTAAACCCTAAACCCTGAACCCTAAACCCTGAACCCTAAACCCTAAACCCTAAACCCTCGAAAACCATGTCGGGAACTCAGGTGTCCCCTGCGTTCCCGACATGGTCCCAACATCTGACGTCACGAGCCTTCCAGGAGAAGAGCGGCGTGCGTGCGCACGCCAAGGAGACAGCGTGGGGGGCCGCTTTGGGGCGGAGGGGGGGGAGGCTGAGCTTTGGGGTTTTGGGGTTTTTTAGGAAAAGGGCCCACCCTAAACCCTAAACCCTAGCATTAACAGCAGCAGAACTGCAACAACAAGAGCAACAGCAGCCACAGCAGCAGCAACAGCAGCAGCACCGCGACCAAGAACAACAGCAATAACAACACCCACAACTCTACCTCAACAGATGCAAGCTTTGGGTCCAGATTTTCAGGGCACGAGGGTTTACTTACAGGCCAAGTGTTTTTGGGCTTGCCGTTCGAGAGAGGCATGCAATTTTCTGTTAGGGCTTTAGGTCCGGACGGGTGTACTTTTTTGGAGCTCCTGATGGTCAGAGCCGGTTTTCATAGGCACAATCCACACTCTTCCTCTGACCTCCATTTCATTGGGTTCAGGTTTTAGGGTAGTTTAGGTTTTTTAAGGTTCCCAGTGCCCTACAAGCCCTAAACCTTGAAGCTCAAACCCAAAGACTTTAACCCAAGGCTGTATAAACCCTAAACCCTAAACCCTAAACCCTAAACCCTAAACCCTAAACCCTAAACCCTAAACCCTAAACCCTAAACCCTAAACACTAAAACCCTAAACCCTAAACCCTAAACCCTAAACCCTAAACCCTAAACCCTAAACCCTAAACCCTAAACCCTAAACCCTAAACCCTAAACCCTAAACCCTAAACCCTGAACCCTGAACCCTGAAACCTAAACCCGTATATCCTCCTGCGCAGATCCCTTCTCGACCAAGAAGGCCGAAAGACTCTGAAATCTCCCCCGTTTCCGCTGTCCTCATCCCTAGCGCCTTCTGAAGGTTAGGGTTTAGGGTTTAGGGTGAAGGTTTAGGGTTACGGGTTTAGGGTTTAGGGTTTAGGGTTCAGGGTTCAGGGTTTAGGGTTTAGGGTTTAGGGGTTCATGGGTTCATGGGTTCATAGTTTCGGGTTTTGTTTTTTTTGGCGCTTCAGGTTTACAGGGGTTTTAGGGCCTGAAAGCCTGAGCCTGATACACTTCCTTGTGTGCTTGTCGGACGCTGCGCGTGCGCTCCTTCTCAGCCGCTGGATCCGCGAAGAGGTCGCGTTCTTCGGCGGCAGGGTCTTTCAGGGTGGGGCCAAACCCTAAACTCTAAACCCTAAACCCTAAACTCTAAACCCTAAACCCCTAAGGCCACGAGGTTCAGGAGTTCTTTGGAAGGGTTTAGGGTTCAGGCTTTGGGGTTACTAAACCTTGAACCTAACAAATCTTCTGCGCGTTTCGGGTGGTAGGCACCCATACATACCCATACTAAAACCCTAAACCGCCCGAGAAGTACAGCAAACCAGCAGAGACCAATGCCTGACAACTTGCGAAACTACGAAGCCCAAGTGGGTATGTCCCAAAATAGGGGTCCCATTTAAACCCCAAATGGTACAGAGTCCCCTTAAGGGACCCCCAAGAAAGGGTACCCCTATTTTCGGAAACCCCTAAACCCTGAACCCTGAACCCTGAACCCTGAACCCTGAACCCTGAACCCTGAACCCTGAACCCTGAACCCTGAACCCTGAACCCTGAACCCTGAACCCTGAACCCTAAATCAAATCCTCACCGCTTCACGCTCTTCTGGGCCATGCCGGCACCAGCCGGGCGGGCGCCCGCCGTGCGCGCGGCCAAGGTCGGGACAAAGAGCGGTTGTTTTGGTTTTTGGGGTTTTGGGGGTCTTGGGGGTTTTTGGGGGTTTGGGTTTTTTGGGTTTTTTTGGGGTTTTTTGGTTTTTTTGGGGGTTTTGAGGTTTTTGGGCTTTTGGGGTTTTTGGGGGTTTTGGGGGTTTAGGGGTTTTTTGGGTTTTTTGGGGGGTTTTGGGGTTTTTTGGGGTTGTTTTTTTTTTTGGGTGGGGTTTTTTTAGGGTTTAGGATTTCGCTTAAGGGTTTCGTTTCATTTTTTTCGGCAACCTGCGCATCTAAACCTACGCCCCTACACTCTCCTGAGCCGTACACTAGGCAATTGAGGAGCCATCCCTCACTGTAAGGGAACCCAGTACGTAGGTCTCAACAACAACCCTGCTTGAGAAACCCTAAACCCTAAACCCTAAACCCTAAATCCTAAACCCTAAACCCTAAACCCTCAACCCTAAACCCTAAACCCTAAACCCTAAACCCTAAAAAGCTGGAGACAGCAAGCATGGTTTACCCAGTCCTCAGCTGCAGGGGCCTGCAGGAAAGGGCTCAGCTTGTAGACTTGAACGGCGGAGCTCAGGTTTAGGGTTTAGGGTTTAGGGTTTCGGGTTTAGGGTTTAGGGTTCAGGGTTTAGGGTTTAGGGTTTAGGGACTGTAGGCTTGCAACACGGAAAGTTTAGGTTACGCTTCCATTTGTCCAGCTTCGTGTGGGGGACTGCTTTATGCCCCAAGACAAGACGCGGGGAGCAGTCTCTGTTCACACAAGAGGCTTCTTGAAGGCCAGGGAAACTTCGTGGTTAGGTTCTAAATGGTTTTTGGGGGTCCCCTATGTAGTACGGCACCCTGAAACTGAGCAAAAGGGGCACTATATTATATTCAGAAAACTTCCCAAGTCTGTGATAAGGTCTTGGAAAATCCTCAGGCCAAGTTCTAACATCCTGGAACCCTCGAAGCCCCAAACTCCTTCAGTCCCGACTTGGCATGCAAGTTCTCGCAAAGCAAGGGACCATGCTGGGAACAGTTCAGACCCGAATCCCTCAAATCCCTCACACCCTAAACCCTCAACCCTAAGCCCTCAACCCTAAACCCTAAACCCTAAACCCTAGACCCTAAACCCAAACCCTAAACCCTAAACCCTAAACCCTAAACCCTAAACCCTAAACCCTAAACCCTAAACCCTAAACCCTAAACCCTAAACCCTAAACCCTAAACCCTAACCCTAAACCCTAAACCCTAAACCCTAAACCCTAAACCCTAAACCCTAAACCCTAAACCCTAATCGACGCTTCGGGGCAGGCCCCCGTGCCAGCAGCCGCGACCTCGCACCTCTTGTGGCGGCCTTGCTCACGCAGCTGTCCGAAGAACTGGAAAGGCCAGGGTTGGGGTTTAGGGTTTAGGGTTTAGGGTTTTAGGGTTTAGGGTTTAGGCTTTAGGGTTTAGGGTTTAGGGTTTAGGGTCTAGGGTTTAGGTTTAGGGTTTAGGTTTAGGGTTTAGGGGGGGTTAGGGTTTAGGGTTTAGGGTTTAGGTTTTAGGGTTTAGGGTTTAGGGTTTAGGGTTTAGGGTTTAGGGTTTAGGGTTTAGGGTTTAGGGTTTAGGGTTTAGGGTTTAGGGTTTAGGGTTTAGTCTGCAAACCAAATGAACCTCAAAGTGGGGTGATACACCCTATACTACTACAGTTCTTGTATAAGGTATACCCTAAACCCTAAACCCTAAACCCTAAACCCTAAACCTAAACCCTAAATCCTAAACCCTAAACCCTAAACCCTAAACCCTAAACCCTAAACCCTAAACCCTAAACCCTAAACCCTAAACCCTAAACCCTAAACCCTAAACCCTAAACGCGAAGGTTGGAGGGCGAGAACCAGAGGCTTCACGAGCTGCTGGGCATCCCTGTTCCCCCAGTCCGGCATCCCAGCGCTTTCTCTCAAAAAGGGCTTTAGGGTGTGGGGTTTAGGGTTTAGGGCTTAGGGCTTAGGGCTTAGGGCTTAGGGCTTGGGGTCTAGGGTTTAGGGTTTAGGGTTTAGGGTTTAGGGTTTAGGGTTTAGGGTGTAGGGCTTAGGGTTTAGGGTTTAGGCGCCCTCATCCTCAAAAGACATAGTACAGGGGTGCAATTGGCATTTGTCACAGTGATCCAGGCGTTAGAGGAGAGTACAGAATACCTGTTGTCATGTTCAAGGCTCCCAGCCTCGAAAATGAAGCCTTCAACGCAGAAGCCCTCAACCCTGAACCTAAACCCTAAACCCTAAACCCGAAACCCTAAGCCCCAAGCCCTAAGCCCGAAGCCCTAAGCCCGAAGCCCCAAGCCCGAAGCCCTAAGCCCGAAGCCCTAAGCCCTGAGCCCTAAGCCCTAAGCCCTAAGCCCTGAGCCCTGAGCCCTGAGCCCTGAGCCCTAAGCCCTAAGCCCTAAGCCCTAAATAAGCCCGAAGCCCCAAACCTAAAGACGGGGCCTCCGGGTTTAGACTCCAGGGTTGCTTTATCAGGGATTCAGAGGGCGAAGGGCTCCAGGTGTTCGGGCTTAGGGCTTACGATGGTTTAGGGCTTGGGGCTGAAGATTTTGGGTTTAGGGTTTCGAGTTTGGGGGGGGTTTCTACATGCCTTAACGCCCGGGTGTTAGGGCGGAAGGCATTGGCAGCTGTCCGTGTAACAAGACGTGTCCAAACAGGGGCACTGATTTAGGGCACCCTAAACCCTAAACCCTAAACCCTAAACCCTAAACCCTAAACCCTAAACCCTAAACCCTAAACCCTAAACCCTAAACCCTAAACCCTAAACCCTAAACCCTATCTCGTGGTCTGGGGTGTCGCGGTCTTGGAAGCCCAGTGGTGCCCTTCTCCTCTTGTCAGGTTTCACAAGGTTCCCTGATAAAGTAAGCCCTAGACCCTAAGCCCTAGACCCTAAACCCTAGACCCTAAACCCTAAACCCTCAACCCTCAACCCTAAACCCTAAACCCTAAACCCTACAAGCATACCATTGTTGTGATATGGTTCCTGGGCTACTAAGAGTGTATCGTTTAGGATTTTCGATTCAGGCTGTCTACGGCATGGATCTGGTCTTTTGCCTCAAGAGCTACAGTGTAGTGAGCGTTTTTGGCTTAGGGTTTAGGGTTTAGGGTTTAGGGTTTAGGGTTTAGGGTTTAGGGTGTAGGGTTCATTTTTTACCCACCATCCAGCAGTTGCAGAGAGCTGGTTACCAACTTTGCAAGATGGCCATGTCCGAACACCGCTTGAAAATCCAGGACCCCATCTGCAGCGCCTGGACGATACTACAGCAACTTGTCATCGTTGGGTAACATTTTACATTTTTAGGGGTACTTAAACCCAACATTTTACATTGTTAAGGGACTTAAACCCAATAAGGAATAAGCATAAGCATTTTTTATACTATCCCAACCATGAACTAGGCAAGAGAAGCCCGAGCATCTCGAGGGCGTAGCGCTGGAGACGTGGACCGCGTGGTTGGAGAAAGTGCAGCGGACTTTGCAGACCTTCCGGTGGATCCAGTTGACCAAGTTGGTTGGGGGCATCTCACTCATCGTCTGGGTCTTCGCTTGCTTCCTGGTCTTCGTGCTGGCCTTCATGACGCTGACGGAAGATGCGACCTGGGTCAGCATCGGTGCCCTCATGGCTGGCGTGGTGATGTGTGCCATCGCGCCGACGGTGTTCCTCTGTCTGGTGCCTTGGCAGCCCAGTGGGGGGCCTTGACCGTTTCTTGGGGTTCTGGGCTACCTTATGAAGTAACCAACCCCCCAAAAAGGGGTGCCCCTATTATAACATGGTTACTGTTTAGGGTTTAGGGTTTAGGGTTTAGGGTTCAGGGTTTAGGGACTGGGCTAAACCGAGGTGTGCTGCGAGACGAGTGCCAAGGACAATCTCAACCAACTCTGCTCGGAACTGGCCACCGAGAAGCCAGGGCTGTCGGTGAGGGTGGATGAAACTTCGTCATCGTGGGGTTTAGGGTTTAGGATTTAGGGTTTAGGGTTTAGGATTTAGGGTTTAGGGTTTAGGGTTTTGGGGGTAACATTTTACATCTTTAAGGTTACTTAAACACAATCAGGAATCTAGATGTAAATTTTTTAAAGACTCTCCCAGCCATGAATGAGGAGAAGGCGTGGATGGGAGGGCGGAGGCGGGAAAGCCAGAAGTACATCGTCATTTCGAAGCGCGATCCCGTTGGTGGCCAGGATTTCGGCGATGACCCAGAACTTGGAAATAACCAGGAAGCGTAAAAGTGAGAGTTGCTGCCGAGATGCCCACCCAAACATCTTCCACCCCTCCCTGAAGGGGAGTCGGGTGGCGCGCGTGGGGGGGGCGTAGCTGCTCTTTGTCATTCTCAGTCTCCCTCTGCGGCATGTTTTACCTTGCAGCCGCCTCCAAACATGTTGGCAAGCTGCAAGACATCCCGGCCGATCCAAAGAGTGGCCTGGCCAGGTACGAAAAATCTCACTCTCATGCTTCTTGCAAGGGCTTGTTTAGGGTTCAGGGTTCAGGGTTCAGGGTTCAGGGTTCAGGGTTTAGGGTTTAGGGTTTAGGGTTTAGGGTTTAGGGTTTAGGGTTTAGGGTTCAGGCTTTGCTTCTTGCAAGGGCTTGTGGTGAGGATCCAAGACACGCCACCGAGTCTTTGTGCAGTAGCGCTCTAGCCTTGACTTCGGTCCTGAATCCCCCCTCCCTAAACCCCCTCTACCATATATATGTATTTATATATTTATATTTATATCTACATTGATATTTATATTTATATCCAGATTTATATTTATTTTTATATTTTTCAGTTCTTTTCATTTATTTTTTTATTTTACTTAAACCTTAGTGAGTTCGTGGGCAAGGCCCATTTGGGGCCTTGCCCACGAATTTAAGGCCCCACATGGGCCTTGCCCACGCATGTAAAGGCCATCATGGAGCCTTAGGGTTTAGGGTTTAGGGTTTCGGGTTTAGGGTTTAGGGTTTAGGGTTTCTTGACTGAGTGAGCTGTTTGTATTTTCTTGATGTTGCGGGATTCTTTGGGCGTGGGTGTTTTTCTAAAGCGCTTGACTAGATAGAGCTAGAACATGAGATGTTAAGCCCTGAACCCTAAACCCTAAAACCTAAACCCTAAACCCTAACCCCCTTCAGTGAGGGCGAGCAGTGTCGGCTCCCATGCAGGCGGCCGCGCGGCGCAGCTGCGACGACATCCAGGACTCTTGAGCCGCCGGATGGGTTTCAGGCTGTCGGGTTCAAGGAGACCCTAAACCCTAAACCGTAAACCCCATAACCCTATATCCCTATAACACTATGACCCTATAACTCTATAACCCTATAACCCTATAACCCTACAACCCTACAACCCTATAACCCTATAACCCTATAACCCTATAACCCTATAACCCTATAACCCTATAACCCTATAACCCTATAACCCTATAACCCTATAACCCTATAACCCTATAACCCTATAACCCTATGACCCTATAACCCTACAACCCTACAACCCTATAGCCCTATAACCCTATAACCCTATAACCCTATAACCCTATATCCCTACAACCCTATATCCCTGAACCCTAAACCCTATAACCCTATAACCCTATAACCCTATAAACCCTAAACCCTGGTTCAAAGAGACCTTCAGGGCAGAGGGGGAAATCAGGCTTTTAGGCTCTGGGGTTAGGGGGGTTGACAAGGTGGAGTAAAGGGCAGAGTGGTGTCCGGCGTGTAGACATCCGCGCCTCAATTCGGGTTTCGGGTTTCGGGTTTAGGGTTTAGGGTTTAGGGTTTAGGGTTTAGGGTTTAGGGTTTAGGGTTTAGGGTTCACAGTTTAGGGTTTAGGGTTTAGGGTTTAGGGTTTAGGGTTTAGGGTTTAGGGTTCATGGACGGCAAGCATGAATGAGCGAAAATTGGTATTGCGGCCGTGCCCACACCCAGAATCCCGCCAAAGCCCGACGACGAACCTCCAAATGCTGCACAGCAGGCCCGAATCTTCAACCCTGGCACCCTCAACCCAACTTCGGGCGCGCTAAAAAACCCCCGAAAGCCCCTAAACGGCCTCCCAAAACTCCCGAAACTCTCAAGCCCCAAACCACCCGAGTGAAGCCGCTGGAGCCCTCCCCGCCCGCCTGCAGCGCTCGCAGCTGCAAGGAGATCCCGAGTCCGGCAGCCCAGGCTCCCCCTCCAAGTTGTTTGTCTAGGTTTAGGGTCTTGGGGTTTTGCTCGGGGGTTAGGGTTTAGGGCTAGGGTTTAGGGCTAGGGTTTAGGGGGGGGGGTCGGGTTTAAGGTTTAGGGTTAGGGTTTAGGGTCTACTTTACGGGTAGTGGGTAGCGGGTGTGAGACAGGGTTGCTTTTCGAGTCCCTGTGGTCACCTAAACCCTAAACCCTAAACCCTAAACCCCAAACCCTAAACCCTAAACCCTAAACCCACTTGTATGTAGGACACGTACCCACAGAAGACCATCTGACCATGTAGTGCGCGTACGGCTGCCAGAATCCTTTGAAGTAGCGCACCTTCGATCGAATTTACGCGCCCTTGTGTGCCTAAACTTTACAAGGAAGAAGCAACTGCCCCCTAAACGCTAAACCCTAAAATCTAAACCCTAAACCCTAAACAACCCCAAACCCTAAAACCCTAAACCCTAAACCCTAAACCCTAAACCCTAAACCCTAAACCCTAAACCCTAAACCCTAAACCCTAAACCCTAAACCCTAAACCCTAAACTCTAAACCCTAAACCCTAAACCCTAAATCCTAAATCCTAAATCCTAAATCCTAAATCCCAAGCAAACGACATTTTGCATCAGCGCCGTGTTCGTCGTGCCAGGTGGTCTGTGCCCCAGCCATTCCAGCCAACAGCCGGAAGCAGGCAGCAGACGCCTCCTGGTCCCAGGCCGCTTGGTTGTTGTTGTTGGAGGGTTTAGGGTTCAACCCTACACCCCTAAACCCCAAACCCCCGAAGCCCCGAAACCCCTAAACCCCGAAACCCCTAAACCCCTCAAATCCCCACCGAAGCCCCCAAACCCTGCACCCGAAACCGTCTAGGGTCGACTTAAAGGTGGACTCTGAAGGTCAAAAATGTTTGAAGACCCTAAACTCTGAACCCCTGAACCCTGAACCCTGGACCCTCAACCCTAAACCCTAAACCCTAAACCCTAAACCCTAAACCCTAAACCCTAAACCCTAAACCTCTCTATCATAATGAATTTAAACCCTAATTCAAAAGTGGGCCGGCAACGGTGACTTTGGGCCTCAAAAGTGGGCAATGGTGATTTTCCTTTCCCCGAGTTTTTCAAGGTTTTTCAGAGTTTTTCAGTGTTTTTCAAGGTTTTTCAATGTTTTTCAGGATATTTCAGGGTTTTTAACCCTCAATTCTGATGAAGGGCCGCCCCCGCGACCTTTTCACAGCCTAGTTTTTGTCAAGGGGGGTCGTAATTTTCCATTTTACAGGCAAAATAGTCTTCGGAGACCCCCCTTGCCTCAAACCCCGACCCCCCCTCCAGGGGCTCGGCGAGGGGGTCCAGGCAGGCCGGTTGCTTAATATTTTCCTGTTTTGGCTTTCGTGACGGGCCCCGGGCCTACGGCCCCCCTGGGCCAAGGGCCCCGACTGGGGCCCCACCCCAACAAGACCCCAGTCAAGGGAGGTCGAGGTTTTTCTACCCCTGAATCCCACCTGGGCCGCCCCGAAACCTACGGCCCCCCCAGGCCTCGGGCCAGCGCATTTCAAGGCTAAGGTGGGGGCAGGAAGCCCGACCAAGCAGGGCCTCCTTCAAGGAAATAAGGGCCTTTTTCAGCTTCCTTGACCTTCGAGTAAAGAAGGGCCTCTGCGGGCCCTGACACGCCGAAGGCCCGAAAAGGGCCGAGGCTACCCCCAACTCCAGCTTAAACCCCAACACCGCAACGTCAAAAAACATTCAATAAACCCTAAACCCAGTTTGGGTGGCCGGGGTGGGTTGACGGGCAACGCGAGCGCGCGGCCCGGGGTGTTTCACACCCGAGCGCGCGCCCTCCCCTGACACACCCTAAACCCTAAACCCTGAACCCTGAACCCTAAACCCTAAACCCTAAACCCTAAACCCTAAACCCTAAACCCTAAACCCTAAACCCTAAACCCTAAACCCTAAACCCTAAACCCTAAACCCTAAACCCTAGACCCTAAACCCTAAACCCTAAACCCTCAACCCTAACCTTAGGCTTTGCGTGTTTGATAGGTTGGGCTGATAGCGCCACGGCTTAAGGGTCCTTGCATGGCCCTTTAATGGGTTTAGGGTTCAGGGTTTAGGGCTTAGGGCTTAGGGTTTAGGGTTTTGGGGCTTAGGGTTTAGGGCTAAGGGTTTAGGGTTTAGGGTTTAGGGTTTAGGGTGGGGCCCCTTGGAATGGGCCCTTGGGTTTTATAGGGTGCATAAGGGGTATATAAGGGGCCCCCTCTTGAGGGCCCAAATTCAGGGACTGCGACATGGCCTTCTTTTTGGTTCGGGAGTGGGGTCTTAAGGCTTCGGGGGACAGTGCCGGGCTGACCTTGAACTTTGAAGAACTGGCCCGGTAGTGCCCCCTTGAATATTTTTCTATGTTTTTGGTTCAAGGTTCTCTTATACCGTCCCCAACAACCCCCACAACCCGCCCTGGCAAAAAAGCTGCAACATCCCAGAACCTAAAACCCTAGAGCCCTGAAAACCTGAAACCGGAAGACCCTAAAACGCGAAGCCTTAAAACCGCAAAGCCCGAACCCCCGAGTGCCACACCTCTTGAAAACCCTAAACCCTAAACCCTAAACCCTAAACACCGCTTTGAGAGCCCAAGGTCCCCAAAGACTTCTGCATGGTCCCCCCCCAAACCAAAGAACACCAGGCATCCATGCAACGTAACTTGATACACATGTATATACATATATATATACATATATATATATGTATCCACATATATATATATGTATCCATATATATATATATATCCATATATATATATATATGTGTGTTTGTGTGGTTTCAAGAATCTTGATGATGTTTGTATACTTCTCACAAGTGTATTGTTATCGGCCTCTTCCGAACAAACCTACGTAACCCACTAATTCACACTCTCACTCTCATGTTAGCCCTCGGGATGCTTTGATGTTTCCCGTAATGGGCTTCAGAAATTCCAAATTTGGCAACCTTCTGCGGGAACTTCAACCGAAAACCGGAAAACCCTAAGCCCCAGACTCTCCAAACGCTAAGCCCCTAGCCCAACCCAAGCCCTGAACCTTTCGTAGCCCAGGTCTTGCAAAGTC